TAATTTGTTTGATAAGCGTCTGCACATTTTTGTGTGAGATATTTACTTTGATTTATTAGTGGTACCTAAAGTGGAGCTAATCAAATCTCTCGATCATGACTTAATCAATTTGACAACGTAATTTATTTTGTCTCACAAACGCAACAAAAAATGTATACAAACGAAAATCAAATGCAACACTGTAATACAACTAATTTATTTAAAATGCTCATTCATGCCATGTCGAATTCTTGTCCATTCATCAAAAGCCAAAAGTCCAGGCAAAAGGACATGGGTCAAAGCCTTTTGTGTTTGCGCTGCGCACTCTGACCCCCAAAAAGATGTCCTTTGCTCAATCCCAAGCAATGCAATTAATATTGAAAAGCTCAGCACTATACAAATCTTCAGCATCAGCTTAAGGGTAGCAGCAACCCTGAACTTCTTATAAATGGAATGAAATGAATGAATGGATGAAGCTCAATGAAGATGATGGAACTGATGAAAGCGAGCGTGTGACAAATGTCCCAACTGTCCAAAGATTACAAAATCTGGCTAAGCATTTCTTGAAGGTAATTAATTGAACTTTGGTCAAACAACTTTCGACGTAGGTCAAGCAAAAGCTGGCAATAAAAATAGCAAAGTCAAATTCAGATAAATAGATGTATAGAGAATATTTGACAGAAAAATGAAATTTGTTTGTAGTTATAAAATAAAATTAACTAGAAAATATATTTAAAATGCATTTTTAAAACAATTATTCTGTGTGACTATTCCGATGTTCAGTTTACTGTTCTTTCTAGTTCCATATATTTTTTTAACACTTTATAAATGAGTTTTTGTTAACTTTTGTTTGGTCAGCAAAAAATCAGAGCATTCAGTATTTGAATTCTTTTGCTGTTACGCCTCATTATGTGATTTATTAAACGTTTAGCTGGTTTCTAAAAATTTGTCTGTCAGCCGTTTGGCAGCTTATGGGCGTGCCGTGACTTGCACTTGTGATAAAGCAGCGCCTGTTTAATGAGCTATAAGTATCTGGCGAAGACACACAAAAGTGGCAGCCACTCATTCGTTCTGTCATCGCGCCACTAAGTATGCAACAACTTTTGACAAACGACATTACGGCCAATGGCAATTAATTTCAAGTCGGGCACTCCCCTCCCAACGCTCCCAACGAGAACATGAGTAGCCAGTTCTACTTTTGCATACAGAACTATGGGGTCTATTTAAGCACCAGTCATGGACGCCACATTACGTCTCATTAGCAACTGCGGCTGCCGGCGGAAATCATTCATTTCCGCCAGTCGAAAATGAAAATGAAAATGAACAGTTTTTCGGCAGTTTTCAACGGCTGATGTGAGCTTCTTTTTTTTATTTTTTGTTTTTTTTTTTTTTTGAGAGAGAGAAGAGCAGCAAACAAAAGCGACATTGTCATCGGGTGTGGACAGGGGGATTGGAGTGCGGCGTGGGTAGGTGAAAGTTCCCCAATTCCCAATGCTCTTAATAAAAAAAGTATTTCAATTGAATTGATTTTGAATGCTGTTCACTGTCTGCCGCCTGTCTGCTGCCCATTGAAAAGTGCGTGCGTGTTTTCTGAGGGGAGGCACTAAGAGTGGGTGGATGGGCGGCGGAGTAAGGAATCCACACAGTTCTATTAAGTTTCAGTCTGGCAGCGAATGAATGAAACCCCCCTCATTCGCCCAGCATGCCACGTACTGATTGACTTTTGCGTTGACATTTGCGCTCGGTTATCGCGCGCCGCCCTTCGCTTGTTTGGGGAGTTTTCCCTGCTGAATTTTCTCGACCCCCCTCCAGCTCCCGCTCGCATTGGCAACTGACTGGTCCACATCTGTGACTGTCTGTCGCTGCTGTTGTGTGTTTGTGATTCCACAATAAACGCATTATGCTGCCATTAGTTGAGTGCCAGAGCCTTCCGCTTGTTTGCCAGCATCCGTTTGTGTTTTTGTTTGTTTTCCTCACTTTTCACTTTTTTTTCTATTTTCTTTTCTTTTTTTTTTTGCGCCAACAATAAAACTGCCTTGTAAATGGGATGGCGACGTCCGGCTTACTGAGCTCCGTTTCCCTATGAGGACAAACAACGTTTTTGAAAACTTTTGCATGCAATGAATTGTTAATTTAGTTAAACAGTTGCTGCCATTTTCTACCCACCTGGGCGGACAGGTCCGCTAAACAATTTCTTTCCTTACAGTTTTATTTGCTTCAGACATGAAATGACATTTTCCTTGATTGCATTGCTATGGGCCGAGTTCCATGCTCATTTAATCTAGTATCTATTACTGCGTAATAAGAAGTTCAATATTGTTGTCTTCATTTAGAAAAAAAAGAAGAAAATTGTTAATGTCATTCATGAGTAAATCTTCTGGTTGTCTTCCTTCAAGCTGCCGAACCAATTCATGTGCAATTAAGTGCATTCAATTTAGTTAATATGGCTTACAGCGCTCACCGCCATATCAGATTGGCTATAAAATAAGCAGACATATGCAATATGCTTTTTATATAGCACAGCTCATTATTTACTTATTGTAAAAAATTGTGCTGTAATTTGTGCCTCATTTTGTGCTGTAAAATCCATGTAATGCCTGGGCACTTTGCTGGCAATCAATTATGTAGAAAATGTTGCCAGTTCATAAAAGTTGCTGTCATTAATATGTAAGCAATCGCAGCAATTGTTTTGAAAGTGCTTGTGCTGACAGGGCCAGGGCCAGGGCCAGGGCCAGGGCACAGCAGAGACAATATCGTTATGTTGCCTGACTGCCTGCCTGCCTGCCTGCCTGCCTGCCTGTGCTGACTGCCTGGTTGCCTGCCTGAATGCCTGCCTGAATGCTTACAAAATGCGCTGCTCCTGTTGGTCCTGACACTCCTGGCAGTGCTGGCAGCACTGCTGGCGAGCATAAAAACAACACATAATCATTTTATTAGCAGCAAAGGCGAAACGACGGACGCAGTGAAGCGGAGGCAAAGGATTCCGGCGGATTGTTCATCCTGTTGCTATTCGTTCGAAATGACTGAGCAACTGTGTGTGGAGTACGTGTTGGCCATGTTTCACTTGCTGTTGTTGCTGTTAACGCTACTTGAGTTAACATGTTGCACCAGAGATCCCATCATGTGTCAAGTGTGATGTTAGTTGGTGAGTGTGAGTGTATATGTGTGTGTGTGTGTGTGTGTGCTTGTGTGTGTGCGTGCGTGTGTAGCTCGACCAGCACGTTGAAGTTTTCTCGTTAGCGAAACTAATTATCCGTTGTCGCTGTCAGCAAAATATCGTTAAACGGTAGGTGACAGTCACACGCATCTGTGTGTGTGTGTGTGTGTCTGTGTGTGTGTATGTTAGTGTGTGTGAAGTACTTGTAGCAGCTTGCATATGTGTGTGTGTAAGTGCGTTAGCTTGTGGATGTCGCTGACCGCCATTTACTGCCTCAAGTGCTTCAAGCGACGAGGTAAATGACCAACTGATTGTCGAATTATACCAAACTTAAGCAGACTTGATCCCGACTTTTCTGATTGCCATATAAATTATTATATTATTATCTCTTATTATAAATAGATCGAATTCAGAAAGTTCTCACTTATCGAAGAAGATGTTATGTGTTTGATGTAAATTGGATAACTAAATTGAATACAATGTTAATCTGCCTGCCTAACAAAGTATTGAGAATTATACACAAAATTCGTTAAATTGTAATATAATTTTTGTGATTAGAATTTGATGTAATTTGTGGAATTTTAACGGTTAAAACTCTCTCTGGCTGCGATATGATTAAATTTACATTAAGCGTATTTCGTAATGCATTTGCCTTTTTATTTTTCCGGCATGTTTCGGCAAACCGCTCATAACAAATGTTGTTAAGGTCGCACTTGGCCCATGCTCCCTTGCCCCTAGGCAATTGCCCTTTGGCTCGTCAGTCTCTTCCTCCGGGCAGCATACGCGCACCGGAAGTGGCTGTCGATTTGCAACAAATGGCTGCCGGATGTTGCCACATGGCGCACGTAAGTCGCTCACTGCTTTCCATTTTTTTTTTTCGGTGGTACTCTAACCCCTTGGCAATTAATTGCCTAACACGTAATTATTTTATAGTTGAAATGGTCGCGGTCACAAAAACACACACACACACACACACACACACACACACATACATACATACACTCCAGACACATATGCGCTGGGTATATGCATAATTTGGGTTTTTGCAGCTAATTAAAAGCGCGTTGCTTTGTGCAAATTAGTCGCAAGAGTGTGGAGCATTGCAGGGAGCATGTGCTGTGTGAGGGGAAATGCGACTTTTCAATTAGCGGTGCACTTGAGCGTTCTGTGTTGTACACAAATTAAAATTAATTAAGTCTACTTTTCAGCGCAGAAGACATTTCATCCATTTTGTTATTGTTGAAATTGCTTTACTTCAAAAATTGTTATTTAGCTCGTATCTGAATAATAAATACAATACGACTCCCATTCCACAAATAAATACTCATACAATAGATATTTGACTTTTTTGTTTTGTTTTAAATTTCATAATTATGGCATTTTTATTTGCATTTTAATTGCTACATTGTGAATACGCGTATTCAATATCAATAATTACACATAGACAGTTCAGTATTACAGTATTTTCTAATGGATAAACAACATACGAATATTTTATGGTAGTTATTAATGTATATGCACTTAATATTTTATGGTTTTCATTTATTTATTTTTTTTTTGTTTTTGTTTAATATTGTATATTCTGTTATCTGTATTTATATGTGTATATATGTGTAAGTGTATATGGCAGTCATACAAATGCATATCTAATTGCCTGCCCTATGCCAAAAGTACAAAGTACAGTTCATTAGTGCGGCAGTTACGTAAGAAAAACGGGGGTTTTACGAATCGTATGTTTAGCCAGTAAATTGAAGGAGTTTTGCCATATGCCTGGTGGTAATTACGCACTAATTACATTGTGGTAAATATATATATATATATAAATATCTAGATATATTTATATATGTATAATTTATGTTATGTGTATGTGTGTATAACAACTAAATAATGGGCTCTGCTTTAATTATACGATTTTAATTACTATATGCACAATTTGATTCACATGTTAATCGTAGCTCTACACATTATTTGCATATTTAAATACATGTTCAATTGAAATTCTCGTATATGGCTAGCTTAATAAATTATTTACACTTATCCAACTAGACATTTAAGTTCACATAATTTACGATTACAATTATTAATTAAGCTGTTAAGTAACAATATAACCAGCCATTTAATATAACTTTAAGCGCTGGCTTCAGCTGCCCGCATACTTGGAGGAACTTATCATACGTTTCTTTAACATGTACAATGATTATCTAAATCTAAACTATGCCTAAACTCCAGGATAAAGCATTATGTGAGTGAGTGATAGAGATGGAGAGGGAGTAGGAGAGGGGGTAAGTGAGACAAAGACATTTAGCGCGCTTTTGGGTAGTAAGTCTATCACTAGCATAGAGGCAATCGCAGCCAGGACTGGCACATTTGTTTTATTTATTTTGTAGATGAGTAGTTTAAGAACGAAACCAGCAAGAGCAAATGCAACCAAGCATTTCTCGCTTACTTTCTAAATAATCAGCTTAACTCACAAATGCTCTCAGTCTTGGTCACAGCATTAGTGACAAAATGCACTCGGCATGGGCATTATACAATATTCATGTAATTAAGTTATAATATAAGTCACAAAATGCATCTACTAAACATGTTTTGCAGTGGAGCATTGCACCAAAATTGAGTTCACACATATCTGTAAGTTAGCACAGAGTTGCAGAGTTGCAGACTTGGCGATATACTCCTTCTACCAGAGAGATATGCATACACTTAACGAAAGATAGAAAAAAGCTGATAGCGATTTGAATTTTGAGACATACAACAAGCTTTAATAAGACGTGTTTAGTGCTTAAAGCACTTGCAAGCTTTAAGGGAGCTTTAAGCGTACTTAAAGCTCGAAGTTTCACCCCTCAAATTATTATATCCATATAATGCCTTGAAGTGTCTTTGAAGTTTGTAGCTTTAATGCTTTTACTGCATACTTGATGCATTATTAACTGTCTTCAATTTCTCATCTCACGTTTTATGCTATTGCTTTCATAACTGATACGTACGAACTCTGCTCTGAGGCACTGTCAACCCTAAATAATAAAAAAATATATAAATAATGCCCAGCTCCTCAATCGCTTACTCGAAGTTCTCTGCGCCGCCATTGTTGAAGCGTTCGCACCAAGCGAGCAACTCGCGCACCTCCCTGGCATAGAGCTGCTCCTGCTCCTTCGCCTGCTCCTGCTGACTCAGCTGGGTGGCCGTTGAGGCCAGGGGTCAGACATTGTGGCAGGGCTGCTGACTGCTGCTGCCGCTGCCGGAGTTGCTCAACAAACTGCGCTCGCTGGCCACGCTGCCGGGCGCATAGATGAGCTCCGTGGCCTCCTTGGCCAGCGGTTCCTCAATGTGCACCTTGCGTCCAGATCGTGTGCTCTGACCACGCCAAGATTGCGGCTCCAGTGATTGCACTTGCTGCTGATGCTGCTGCTGCTGTTGTTGTTGTTGCTGTTGTTGTTGCGCGTGCGGCACCAATGGCAGCAACTGTTGCTGCTGTTGCAATGGCTGCTGCTGATCATCGACCTTCACATACAAACGCTCCATATCATCCACATCTCCATCGGCCGTGTGATAAAGCGCCTGATCATCCTCATGTGACATCAGCATGGCCATTGGGGACGGTGAACCGCCGCAGCCCGAATCCGCTAAGCCATTGTAACAGAATGAGGAGCCATCCAAGTCGAGCAGATTCTGCTGATGATGATGGGTACTCTTTGCGAGCGTTTGATCCATTTGATTTTGAGTCGGACTCGCGTTGAGCACCTTGAAGCGAGCACTGTCCCGTCCAATGCTGCAACCGTGTGGCAACTGTTGACGTCGCACGCTGGCAAATTGGGCTGCGCTGCCGCCCGGTGTTGCCACCTGCTGCTGCTGCACATGTCCACCCGGCGCCGCCTCATAAGTATGACAATTACTCAACTTATTCTCAGTGATGTGCATATGCATGTGCTTATCCTTGGGATAATAATACTGATCGGAGTAAACCGAACGTGATCCGGCTGTGTTACTCGGATAGATCTCGCCATTGCTGGACATTTGCTGATAGATGTTGGCGCTGGAATGCGGCTGCTGTTGTTGCTGCTGCTTCTGCTGGTGTTGCTGCTGTTGCTGTTGGTAATGCGGATGCATGGGACGCTGTACGCCATAAGAACCAGGCAACGCAACTGGACCTGGTCGCTGCTGATAACGTGGCTGTGGATGTTGCTGTTGGTGCTGCTGCTGCTGCTGCTGTTGCTGTTGCTGCTGCTGATGTTGCTGACCGGTATTGAGTATGGCTGAGGTGGCATAGGGGGCGGGTGAGGCATTGCCCTGACGTCCATATTCGCTGGGTGCCTTGCCAAAGCTGGAGACCTCGGCATAGTCTGTCGGTATATTGGAGTATTCGCCCACATAGCTGCAAATGAACAGATAAAAACAATAAGAAATCAGTATGAGTTGCGACGACCAGATACCCTATAGTAGCTTTCAACTCTTCCTTCAAAAGGGGAACATCGATTTGTCAGCTACTTGAATATTGTGTTTAAATTAAAAAAAAAAAAAAAAACAAAAAAAAAGATTTTTGATTGGGGTATAAATTCAAAATCCTCTGCCAAAAATCCATTTGCTTCCCTGTGCTCGTTGCATAAATCTACATTAATCTCATAATACCAATTTAATCCATCTATAATGGGTATCCAAAATACTTTTATTCGCCGGCGTTTGTTTATTATACAGTATTCCCACGCTCAACGTGCTGCAGAGTAGGGGGATGGGTGGTGATGTGTGAGGAAAGGGGTAGCAGCCAAAATATTTTTCGGTTATAAATTTGTCGTTTTTTGGGGCAGCGAGTTGGAGGCTTTGAGTTCGCTGGTGAATTTATGGCATGCGGTCTGCAGTCGGAGCGGAAATTTGCATTTTGGAAAATGCCCGGAACCAGTTCCATGAGCAGCTCATGTGTAAAAACGGAATTTATTTCGGATTTAACATTTTACAGATTTACACCTGACCGCCTCACTGTCCGTCTCTCTCTCTCTCTGTCTGTCTGTGTGCCTGTCCGTCTGCAGTTGCCAGTTAACCCAGCTAATGTTGTGCAAATGGTTTTGGCTCTAAGCAGCGATAACACTTATCACCAGCTACAACTCCACACAGGATCTGAATTCAATTTCAACTCAGCTGAATTAGCGAGTCAATGCTATGCAGAAAATATAGTATGTCTAAGAAATACCCTTTGCTATGTTTGAAGTAAGTTCTTCATGAGATTGAGAGAAAAATGATTAAGTCAAAAATACACTGCTGCAGATTTTGTATGCGTTTTCATTGCTGTGCAGTGTTTAATGGTGTATAGGAAATTGTTAATGCTTAAAATACTCCTGTCAACCCTTTACACACTTATAGGGTATAGAAATGGTGCAAGGCTGATACACACACAAAAACACATTCAAATTTTTAACATTATTTTCGTATTTAAATACTGAAAGCGGATTAAATGGCAAACATAAAAAAAAAAACAAAATACAAAAAAATAAAACGAAACCAGCCAAAAGCTGAACAAAAAATATATGGCGTATTGATGGAGTCGTCATGGTGCAGTCCACATGGAAAAACTCCGGTGCGTGCATTTCAAAATACGCTTTTAATGCCCTTAATGAGTTTTCATTTGGCGAAGGGAAATGTCTGCAATGAATGAGTCCTTTGTACCACTCCGAGAGTGGGCCTGGGCTACTGTTCAACATCAGTGGAAACTATGTACAAAAAAAAAAGCAAACAGCTGAATAGCTGTAAGTAGTTTAAATGGAGTACACTTTATGAAAATATCCGATTATTTTAGTGTTTTTTAAGTTGGAGTTGTTAGTTTTACACGGTGCAGGGTATATCAGAAGAATGTAGGGTATATCATACAGGACATGTCTTAGAAGCATTTGAAGTATACTAGACTTGATGAATATTACTTTATTTTCCTTTAAGTATGTTGGGTATATGTCTTGACTTGATAAATATATTATTAGAATTACTTAATTTTCCTTTAAGTATCTGACAAAAAAAATGTTGCAAGTAGATTTTATTGAAATGAATAACTATTATTATCAAGAATCAGCTTAGCTCGAATGCCCAAAAAGAGTATTTTAAATTCGTTTTGAATGTTTAAGTGAGTGTTAAAAATGTGTTTGTTGTTGTTACCCATTTTGTTGAATTTTCTCTCATTTTTATTCTCGCACATATGACACTCATTATGGTGTGATTACTTTTATATTGTTATTGTTATTGTTATTGCATTGGTTGTTGCATATATTTTGTACTCACGCACAATTTTGTTGCACTTATTATTAATATTTGCGTTGAATCGCACACATTTTCAATTTGTGTTTTTAATGACTAATTAAGTGTGCGAAAATAATTTTAATTATGTCGGGCAGAATTTTATACGCCCGGTAGTCGCATGGCAAATTGTATTTAAATTATGGATAAATTGAAATTTATTTTTATTTTGTTTCTCTTCTCATTTTTTTAAGTTTTTCTTTTATTGATATTTGCAATTTGGCGTGGTTGGAGCATTTTTCTGGGGGACACACTTCAGCTTTTCACGCTTGATTGATATTTAATTGCCATTTGGCTGACAGCTGCGATTTTTGTTGTTCGACATTAAAATAAAGCACTCGAACATTTGTCATTTTAAAAGTTCTTTAAATCATTGTTGTATTACTTTAAATTTGTTATCATTTTGTTTATCAATTGAATAATTGCATCAAATTTGCAACCTCGACTATGCTATTATTGTTGGTATTTTGTGGCCAGCACAAAATTAGCCACAAATAAATACCAATTACCGATTTGGCTATTTTGGTAGAAGTAAAACAATTCTACAAAAAGCAAACAATTATTTTACGCCTTCTGATTGCCAGACAAATAAATTAGCCACGGCTGCAATTGCCAGTTGATTTCAACATTGCCAGCTTTGATTAACCATTCCACGAGTTCAAAGCACATGTAAAATTATGCGAATTGTTACAAAAAATAAATAACATGAAACAACAACATACAAAACATTTTTCAGGCACAGCTCCAAAATGATGGCAACATTTTGCAACAGTCACAAATTAAAGCTGCCAACATTATTAACCAAGTCTGGCTTTGGTATGTCGAAATGGTAATACTCTTACTGATGTGTTTGAAATGGTTGCCATATGGTATTATTTTCTAATCTGTGGAAACAGGGGATTATAACTAAATGTGGTACTTTAATGCCATGTAATTCTCTGATTAACATATCTCAATAGTTCTGTCATATAAACAAATTGCTGCTGCAACAACTGAGCTTTCAATCAAGAATTTTTCTGATATAACAACAATGCAATCTTTATATATACAATTCATAGCCAGATTATAAGACCCTCCATGAGAGCAAGCATATGGTGGACACACCTATGTCACACTCTCAAAAGAGCATGCCACATTTGGCAGCAAGGAAAACTTAAAGCTGACCAGTTAAAGCTGCACAAATGTATTTGCCAAGGTGGCCAAAAGTGAACAACACCACGATAATTACATTTGGGCCTACGGGGAGCTGCGAAACTATGCAGCCACTGGAAAATGTCCAATGGGAGCTAACTCCACTTTGGTAGCTGTCCACTTGCTGGTGCCCAAAAATCAACATAAATAGCGCGCCAACATCTCCATTTCTAACTTGATTTTGTTTGGCGCAGCCGGAAAAAGAAAAACAAAAAACAAAAACAAAAACAAAAAAAATGTTTTGCGACGCGCCAGAAAAATGCAATTTCACAGTTTGGTGAATTTTTATTGTCGTCGCTTTGAGTGGGTTCCCAGTTCTATTTTTTTTTAGTTTGACGTCCATTTTTTTTTTTGTTTCTGTTTTTTCTGGTTGGGTTACTGTGGAAAAACTTACCGCTGATGATTGCGTTCGCTGGCGTGTCCATGAATATCATCGATGCCGCCGCCGCCGCTGCCGTTGCCGTTGCTGCCGCTGCCAGTGGCACCGTTAACGCTGCCAGTTGCACCGCAGACTGGGGCATAGTCGGCAATGTGATCCTTCTGCATGTCGAGGGTGTCGCCGCTGGGCGAGGTGCGCCACACCATGCCGCCAGTGGAGGCATCCAGCCAGTAGCCGTTGCCATTGCGCGTCGATAGACTCGGCATTTTCAGCACGTCGCTCGTGTGATTGCCTACAGGTGATAGCAGGAGAGAAAGGAGAATTAGTGAATGAGAGACTAAATCATGTCTGGGAGAGAGATAGAGAAAGAGAGAGAGAGAGCGGGGTGGGGCTTGTGAGACAGAGCAATTAAATGTTTTGCAACAAATTGTGAACCAAATAAATTGTTGTCGGAAATTGACCAAAAAATACAAAATGCATTTCCCTTTTTGCATGTGTTCCCAAAAACAATTTCACTAACAAAAACAATTTCAAAAGAAGCAGTTTCATATCATATTCGGTATTCTCGCATTATTAACAGCTTTTAAAAATAATGTGATTTAATTTATGAAAGATTTGAAGCTAAGCCTTTAATTTTAGGTTGATTAACAGTTTTTTAAGCTTTATTAAGTCCCCCAAAAAAATAATGTATCGAAATTGTGGCGAAAGTGTTTTCGAGCAGCTTATGGGATTTCCATGCTGAGCGCTGCAATACTATAAATTCAGCGCATTAAAATAATATTATGAAAGAGCGGGTGGCTGGGGCGTATGCGCAATTTCCCCTATTGTCACAGTTCACACACACACACACATACAAAAAAAAAACACACACACAGACACAGCGAAAAATCAAATAAATTATTGTCAATTTTCCAGTTGGCGCCCGTCGCTTGTATAAAAATGTGTTGCATACTTTCGAGCAAGCCGCGAGCAAGTAAAACACAAAAAAAAACGACGAAGCAAAATGATTGCATAAAAAATGCACCAATTAAACTGTCCCCGGGTTATAACTGCGCATCAGGTGAGTTTTTTATGTCGCTTATTGTTGGAGTCGTTGGGGTTAAGGGGCGGCCCAATGCCATTATTGTCTATGGCTGTTCAGGTGAGGGCATGAAAAGCTTTTGCGCTTTTTGCTGCTTAGTTTATGGGCAACTGCCCTCCATGAATATGCAGTGCCATTTTTTTGCTCTTTTTGTTTTTAGCTCGCTTTTTAAAATGTCGGTTAGCAGCGGCTTGTTAAACAATGCAAACGTTGTGCAACAATTTTATTTTGTCCACACTAACAACTAACTACACACACAAAAAAAATATCATCAGAACTATATGTTTAACTATAGAAGTTGAAAATAATGGAAAACAGCTTGACAGGCTTGTAACTTATTGTAAGGCTTACAAATGATGAATTATGAATGATTTTGGCACTTTTTCAGCTCCATGTGCTTAGTATTAAATAGATGGAGGATCAATTAAATTTCAGTAGAATTAACATAAATGTGTAATTTACGAAAGTGATACAATAGCAGCCAATTGTATTCAATATTAAATGTATTCTAAACAATTACAAATACTATTTAATTTCAGTTATATCAAGTTATATCAAAAAGCATAGTTGGACTTAAGTTTCCTAATATTTTCTCTTGAATTTGATCAAATTTTGTGTACATAATTTTCAACAGCTCACAGTTCATTTTGTGCATTATTAAATATGTATATCAAAAGCGATCAAATTCGCAATTGCAATATTGTCTTCCATTTCAACGCCTCCTTTAGTTGAGCAATTTCATTAATAGTGCCTTGCGAGCAGCATTTACTGTGCAACTAGCTACATGAAAAGCCTGAGCACTATTGCCATATTTGGAAGTCAACTCCTTCTGTTCCTCGTTACGCAGCTAATTTCAATTAGACCACAAAGTCTGCCCCCAACTGCAGATACTAAACATGCCAGGAGCACACACAAACACACACACACACAACTTGTTGGTTAATAATGCACACAAAACTAAATGCATAATTGCAGTTGGCTGTTGAGGGTAGGCACGGAGAGAAGAGAGTACAGCTTAGAGTAGGGGAAGTAGAGGGTAGTTAGAAGGACCCTTGGAGCACAACAGAACGTCACGTGCAAAATGTTAGCTTCTATTATGTGCCGAGCACGAAATTTGTGCTATTTTGTGCTGGCAGTCTGCTAAAATATTTATTCTCACCTATTTTGTTGTGTGTGGTTGTATATGTATATATATATATATGTGTGTGGGTACCTCAAACAATGGAAAATTAGCGTTATTTATATATGCAAATCTGCGAGTGTGTGACTGGAACAATTCCAGCTAGGAAGGAAGCGCAACTAGCTGAACGCAACGGATGCAACTCGGATGTGACTGGAGGATGTGCCTCTGCGTAAAATGTAGGTTTTTATACCCTGAATTCGCTGAAGATGAATTAAAAAAACGGGTTTGACGCTGCTGTTAGAAAGAATGTAACACTCAGTATAAACCACATCAGTATAAACCACATCAAAAAATTATATATACTCTTGATCAGCAGCAGAAGGCCAGTCGATCTATGCTCATCTGCATAAAGAAGAAGCGTTAAGAACCAGACAACTATCTGCAACTAGGCTGCAACTAGAGTTTATTTACAGCTTTATATTATTTTATGAAACAGGTTTAATACAATTAAAAGCTAGATTTTGGGTTTCTCCTAATTGATCTCTCTCAACTAGAGCATTCTCATTGTGTTTTTGATGTACTCACCTCGCATGGTGTTCAGCGCGGACTGCTTCATCATCATGTGTTTGCGTTTCACAAAGACCATCGCGCCAAAGGATAACATCATGATGGCCAATATGGCGCCCAGGAGTATTATGAACCAGGGCTGTGTCAGCACGTCGTTCACGTGATCCTGATTGATGGGATAGCTGCAAAAACAGAAACAAAAATATAACCAAATCAAAATAAGTAAATTAAATTAATTTCTGATTTTAGAGCTGTCAGCTGATGATTTTGGATCTTGTTTAACGAAATTTATTGCGCTTGGCTTAAATTTACGAGCTATTATTTTTAATTATAAACCTTCAACTTACCGCTGATTGATAAACGGATCGAGTCGCTTGGTAATTGGATCCAGACGCAGTGTGGCCGGCACACAGTAAGGTCCAATGCCAGCATTATTGCCTGCTGCCACGCCCACCGTATACATGACACCCTCCGTGAGATTGGCCAACACCAGTGTGGGTGAAGCAGCATCAATTGTCACATTGGTCAAAATACGCGAGAAATTGTGAGCAGTGTCGATGCCACGCACAATTACATGATAGTACAGCAAAACACCTGCAAAGGGTTAAAGTTAGGCGTTAAGGGTCCTAATGAGGATGGCAGAGGGTTAAACTTACCATGTTCTTCCTTCAGTTCGGGTGCCTTCCATTTCAAGAACACCGCCGAGGCATTTAGCAGTATAGCCTCCATGCCAAATGGTGCATCATTGGGCACTGCAAAAACGAAGGACAAAATACCAACAAAAAATAAGGATGAGTTAGGTTGGATGTTTTTCAGTGGTTTTTGTTGTTGTAGGCTGTAAATGCGTTTTTGATTGTTTTGCCCGCAGCTGTCTCTAATGAGTCGCGTCTGCTCTAATTAATTACCATTTAGTGGGTTAGGTCTTGAGGGTAGTCTAGTTTTTTTTTTTTAGAAACAGTTCCGGGTAGCTCTCCATTGTGACGGAGCCGAGGAGGGCGAGGTATTTTTAGAAAGGAAGCGAAGAAGCGTATCAAGTGGATGCATTCATCACGGCAGCTCACGTTGCCACACTTCAAAAGCTCATCTTCATTTGTTTATTTATTTCCTGATGCCGCTGCCATATCCCCCACTACCACAAATCTCTATGCGTCTGTCTGTGCAACGGTTGAAGCAATTTCTTTAAATAAACACACGTGCGAATGCGAAACAAAACCAAAAAACAAGAAAAGCACCAGCAGCAGCAACAACACAAAAAATAAAAAAATACAAATAAAAAAGCCAACGTCTCTAAATAGGTGCCCGTCTAGGTAGACGTATATGTAGGTAGTATATATAGGGTTAGGTTGGGAATACTTGGGAGCGTGCTGCAGCGATTTCCCTTTTATTATTCTTTGGCTTTGTTTCTTCGGCTGTTGCTGCTGCTGCTGCTCCTCCTCCTGCTCCTGCTGCTGCTGCTGTTGCTGCTGCTCCTCCTGCTGCTGCTGCTGTTGCTGCCTCTGTTGCGACATGCTAAAGTGCTTGTCAGGCTTTTTGTCTAAGGGGGTTTTCTCTGTCTTTGTTTCCATTTTTCTTTCTGCGTCTGTTGTTCTTCTTTTAAGCCATGGCTGATGACGCGCTTAACACGTATCTGCCATTGTGTGGAATAGACGACCTCGAGGCAATTGTTGCAAAAGAGTGTCGCCACGTCACATTTGACAAACCAATTGGAAAATTGCAATTGAAATGACGGTTTCCAAGCGATGTTTACACACATTTGCCTGGAACTACATCGGTGTCTACTAAGAGCCAAGTAAATGATCAATTTACTTCACAGCACTGAAAGTCGACTAGACCATCATGGGAATTATATAGAGCTCTAAGGTAGTAAGATACTTCTATTTAGAAGTAATTTTTCTGTAGTTTTAAGAAAACTTCTTAGATTTTCTGTACTTTCACTTCCTATTATTTCTTATATTTCTTTTTATTTATATATCTTTCCCTTTTAATTAATATATATCTCATTTAAGCACATTACTTTCTTCAATGTACATTTTTATATTTACATTTTCTTCTTCTCTTATTACTTGCTTTTTAATTGCAGAGCATTTTGTAGTCGTGGGGTGATTTCTAAACTTCTCTGAACTCCCCAGGTAATTGTCTACCTGTATCCGTTATTTGCCTAGTTCCATTTTGGCTAAGGGACCCCTGTGTACCCTGTGTAAAAATGCTTCCTGTGTGAATTTTCGCTTGAGTACCTCCCGCATTTTGGCAGGACTAACAAACGCGCATCAAATTTGCATTGCGCGGCAATGCAACACTTTGCGGGTTGTTTACGGATGCGGGAGAGGGGAGGGATGAGGGATGAGGCGTGTGCTTCATATACGAAGCAGTAATAATTGTTGTTTATCTTTACACAATTGCGTTGGCAATTTCTTTGAGTTGTTGTTGTGCTTGTTGTTGCCTGGAAAAAGTCAGCAGCATCAGTGAAAATGTGATGCATACAAAATGAGTTTTGATTTAAGGGAACAGACGCCGCAGATCCCAAAGACCTGGCGGACAGACTCAACAGACGAACGGACAGCGGGACAGAGGGACAGACGGTCGGACGGAAGAGATGCAACCGAACCAAGCGACAGACAGCCTGCATTTTGGGGCAGACAGAGGGCACTTTGGTGCCGCATGCCAAGGCGCAGCGTTTGTGCATTTTATATTTGCAGCTGGCGCAGCGTTTGTTGACTTATTTGCGGCACTGTCATTCCTCCTCTCTCTCCTTTCTCCTTTACACACACACACTCCCATTCAGTGTTTGCCTTTGCGGCATTCCTGGACCTGTCTTCTGTTTTTAGCTTTGACTCTGCTGCTTTCTCTATCGCTCTGCCCCTATCTCTGTCTCTTTCACATTTTGTATTTAATTATTATGCAAAAAAAAAGTCAGCTCATTGAGAATTGTTCACTTTTTCGCAGCGCTTTCTTGAAGTTTTTTTCGGGTGATAAAATGAAGTGATAAACCTGTCTGCAAAGTTTTCAGCATTTGGCAGTTGGCATCTTTGCATCTCTCTGCTGGCAATTGAGAGAGAAAGAGAAAAGAGAAGCAGCTCGAGCTGAATATTTGGACAGTCTTATCAGGTGCAGCTGGGGAAAAGCGCATTTGCTGGATATGTGTCTTAGTCATGCAGCTCAACCAAGATATCAGCCAAAGTCTGTAATCTGGCAAGTTTTCAGCTTCGATATGTCGAACTTGGCAGTTTCTTGAGCTTGAACAACGTCTTAAAGAAGCAAGAGACGTTAAAAAGCATTGGTAGCAGTTGAAGAATGATTAAGTAGTCACCAGAGTATAGTGATTTAGTTTACTGAACTACGATATAAGGGATTAAAGAGCAAATTCAATGCAGTTTTTCATTTTATAAGTGAGTAAGTATATGTTTATATATATACATGTATCTATATTCATATTTCACTAAGAAATACTTATGTTTAGATCTTACAAAAATGTGACTCAATTGAAGATACTTTGAGTAGCTAATCTAGAAGATAACTGCGATATCAGGCATTGACATATGTTTAGATTAAGGCTCTAAACTCAGAGCAGCATTCATGATTTGATTTAAGAAGTTTGTATTTATTTTCTCAACACTATCCTTCACTAGTTTTGAATCTCACAGGAATGTATCTTTTACCCCTTTACTCTTCCACTTTTTTGAGTTTTCACTTTCAGTTTTTTTCGCAGGCCTTTCAAATAATTGAAATTTGTAGTTAAGCTGCAGGACACATTCCTTAAGCACATGTCGAGTCATTGCGTTCGATGTTGAAGAATCCTTTCACCTGTCTGCCACAGGCGTCATATGTAAATCGCCACATCAAGTATTCCACACACTCAACTCAACAGGCACACACACACACCCACACACACACACACACATTCCTACACACACTCACGGATGAATTGCCGTGTGCACATGTGCTGGAACCTGAGCCTACGTGCTTGTCGCGTTCTCCTATCGCCTGATAGCCCATATTTTCACTCGGCTTACTGCACATGCCGAAGAAGACTTTACACACTTTACACACGCATGATTCGATTTTTTGCAATGTTCGTTGATTGACATACTTTTTATTTGCCATATCCGAAGTTTCGCCCTGACCCCCTCTCCAACCATTTGGCAGTTTTTTGTTGGGTTCGCTTGCGACCCTCAAAAATTATATGCGATTATGGGAGACCCGCATGGCAGCTGATGCCAGGCAGGCAATGGGATAAGGATAACGCTCGCTTCTGCCATTTATGTAGCGCAGTTTCCTTTTAGCGCTCATATCCCTTTATTGTTATTGGGTTATTGTTGCAATGCGAACAAAAACCCCACCAACCCCTCGCCATGCTGTGGCTGCTGCTGCTGTTGCATGTGTCAACCCCTCGCTGAGGGTTGCTGCTCACATCGAATGAGGGGGTTGTTCATAGTGCTGTTGTGTAGGTATTTATATGGTTTGTCGAATTTCGCAGGATTTTAGCTGGTTCATTAGGCGCCGGGCGTGTAGACAACTGCATATTTGCCTATTTGGCTCCACGCATAAATAATACATCAAAGGAGCAATGTAACACATACACTCAGAAAAAACTATGTGAGCTAGTGAAAAGCATTGGCAACTAGAAATATGTATATGGAAATGAAAATATTTTGCGCTTTTGGAAAACATACTTCTGCAAATTAGAATAGAAACTCTTTTTGGCAGCTTATGGAAATATATCTTGAGAATTTTTAGAAATATCTTTGCTAAGAAATCAGTTTCCAATTAGGACAAACATTATTTTGGCACTCTGCAAACAAAATTCACTAAATAACTGAAAAGATTTCCAGCTTGATATTGAAAAAAGATAAACCATTTATGAAACATAATGCCAGCTGTCCAAAAATATATTTTTCTGAGTGTAGTTGGTATTGGTAGCGGGTAACTAGATACTTACCATCTTCAAGGGTGCGCGCCAGGCGCGAATTTGAAGGTTTGCCCTCGACGGATTTGTAAAATGGCACAATGAAAAATTCATAGAGCGTATACTGAAATAGTCCTGTCAGCGTACAGGACGAGGCGCCTCCACCATTCAGTATCGTCAGCATGCGATATTTGTTGCTGTACGACGACTGGATTTGGGCCAGGCTCTGCTGCTGCTGCTGCTGGGAATCCATTGCATCACGTTTGCCGGCAGCGGCAATATTTGGTTTAGTCGAAATCAATGCGGACGCCGAGGCAGAAACGGAGGCAGCGGCAGCAGCATCCGATGCTGCTATGGAGTCCAACTGCGGATTGATATAGGCTGTTGCCATGTTTGTTATTGGATTTGGTAACTGGCGTGCATAAATGTAGAAGCCCTCGACGTATTTGCCATTGATGATCTGCATGAGTAAACGACCAGGGGTTAGCTATATAGTTCGCTGGGTGTATGTACGAGTATATGTATGTATGGATGTATGTATGCAGTTACAAACCTGCCAAGTGAGCTTCATGCTGGTGGAGTCCACAACGCTGGCATTGGTTAGCTCCACAACATCGCCAGACAGCAGACTGGCGCGTGCCTCACTCAAATCCAAGCCACTATTGAAGTAGCGCTGTGTGAGAAAAGAGAATAAAAGTGGTGGCAAAGTTAGCTAAATAAAAATACACACATACAGATTACTATTTATCAAGCATATTATTCTATAAGCTTTATATATGTATATACGTTTATAAATATATATATTTTCATATATTTATTTTCATATTTATTTTACTGTCAGCAAAGCTTTAAGCTTGCGGCAATCAATATAAACACCGAAATACAAATTGAGTTTATTTTATTAAGTGCCCTAAAACGTTGACTTTAATTGTTCAATATTTATTGCTATATATTTACTATTTAAGTTTCTAGCAATTTTCTTAACAAAATTTTATATTTAAATCAAAATTGAATGTAAATTTATAAAACAATTTAAAAGTTGACTTTAATAGTCCAAGATTAGTTTTCATTATTTTAATGCAATAAATTAAAATGTTTATTTTCAATTTTATTGGGTTTATTTGTCAGCTTGTGCTTTCAAATTCTGAGCTACAAATCATTGAAAAGGTTATTAAATTACTCAAATTGCTTTAATGTGATGTTTACTGTGTATATTTGAGGATTATTTCTGCATTGAAAGCAACTTACCGTGCCCACAGCAATGGGTTCCGACATGGGACTCGGCAAGGAGAGACCGTGTGAGTTCTCCGCTCGTATCAGGAAGAAATAGTTGACGCCAGCCACAAGACCCGCCTGGGTGTATGTTGTATTCTGTATGCGTGTGCCGACGGCTACCCAGCCATCTGTCTCGTTCTTGCCAAACATCTCGACGACATAGCCGACTAGACTGGAGGCGCCCACTTTGTTGCTGCGCGTCCAGCTGAGAGTGACCGAGTCGTCGCCCTTTTCCACCAGCTGCGGCTTGCCGGGCGGGCCCGGATACGTGGACAGCTCGGCAGCGCGATAGAACTTAATGTTCGGATTGGTGGGCGTGTCCAGACGCAGATAGCCGCTCCACGAAGACTTGCCATTGCGATTGCTGGCGACACACGTATAAAGGCCCTCGTCCTCGTGCCGCTGCAGATCGGAAATCGTCAATGTGCCGGCATCGGAGAGATTCCTTCGTTCATGCTCCTGCACATCGATGGGTATGCCATTCAAATACCAAGAGATTTGAGGCACCGGTGTGCCAAGAGTGCGGCACGGTAGCACCACAATCGATTTCACTGGCAGCGTCTGATTGACGGGACCCTGTTCGATTATCGGCGGTGGCAACTCAAATTGTGTATCCACATTGACCACAGTGCGGCTGCTGACGCTGCCGACGGCATTCAAAGCATTGCAAACAACCACCTTTCCGGAATCCTCACGAGCAAAGCGCGCAATCGAGAGCACCGAACGACCCTCGGGCGTAAGGGTCACCTCCAGTCGACCATCTCGATAGCCAGGCAACAGCAGCGAACTGTTCCCCTCCACAGACCAGTAGAGAGTGGGTCGCGGATGACCGCTCGCCTGGCACTCAAAGAGCACTTCATCGCCGATCTCAACAAGCTGATTTTTGGGGCGTGTCAGGAATTTGGGTGGTGCTGCAGGTGGATGATGAAGAAAGCCAAGTTAGTTGCTGGGTGTTCGTTGTTGCAATTAACTTACCGTGCACGGTTAGAATGCCGGTGGCTGTAATTGAGCCGACAGCATTGTCCGCCTCACAACTGTATTCGCCCATGTCCTCGAGCGTGACGTCGTCCAGCTTCAGACTACGGTCTTCAAGTATGTGCACACGACCTAAACATAACACAGAGCAGAGAGTGAGTGAGACAGAGCCGAGAAGAGTGAGTGAGACAGAGCCGAGAAGAGTGAGTGAGGACTTGAGACTGGTTTGTGTCGTGCTTCAAAATCCCAACCACCTAACATAATTCGTGATATAAATATATATAGTTAATATAAATATATATAAAATAAATACTGATCCAGAAACATTCATTTGTTCAACACCCGGTCATCTCTATGCCAGACATGTATGAGTATGAGCTGGGCTTGGGTTTGTTTTCGAACCAAAAACGAGCAACTAACTCAAAAGTCATTGGACGCTGTCTTCATCTACTTCGTTAGTAGTTCAAGTAGCATAAAAATGGCCAAGACACAACGTGGCGGGCAATGGGGCCAAGAGCCGCCGCAATGTAAGCTAAAAGAGCCAGGACCGTGCAGGAAGCAGGGGAAGGAAGGAAGTAAGCACACACATTGAGCAGCCACCTTTTGTGGTTGTGCCTCACAAGAGGGGAGACAACAACGGCAACAAGAGGATGAAGGAGGAAGAACATTGCTTTCTTTTTGGTCGGTTGGTTGACTGACTGCGAAATAGGTTTTAAATGTTGTTGTTGTTGTTGTTGTTGTTGCTCCTTCAGTGGCCACTGTGCCAATTGTTTGCTTAACAAAAGTTTAGCCGCCCCAAGAGCTGAGCCACCTTCAAAGTCCTTGTCGTATTTTCTTTTACGGCTTTCGGCTGCGAGGGCAGTTTAAAGAAGCGTAACTAGCTCCAAAGTGGGCAAGCATTTATCTAGCTGGAATAGGTTTTTTTTTTTTTTGCAACCCCCGTGCCCAAACCCTACACCTTGCCTCATTCGGTTAGTTGCACTCTCTTTCTGTGCGACGGGGTGCGTCCTGTCTGAAGGACAACATTGCAACAGTCGAGTGTTGTGCAAGCAAAATTGTTGATTGCTGCCAACAGAGATTGGCAATTAACGGAATTAAAAGTTACAGTTGTGTTTACCCAGTTGACTGTTTGGGGCGGGACAAGAGGGTCGTGCGTCGGTCTCAACCACCCACAACCACAATCACACTAACCACAACAACAACAACAACAACTGGAAACAAATAGAACTACAACTAACGCACAGTCGCAAAAGGTGTTTATTATATTGAGAGAATTTGAAGTTAGGATTCCAAGAATAGCTTAAGATTGGAGTTTGGCTAGTGCTTGTTTTAAGCAGCTAGAACTCTGCTTGGTTATAAATGTTGAGTTATGCAGATTAAGTGAATATCTTCTAGCTTAAGTCCTACAGACCAGTTGAAAGTATAATCTAAAATGTAGAATTTAACTAATTCTAAGTTTCTGTTGGCATGTTGACGAAAGGTAATTTAACTCAGGAGTCGTATAGGTCATCATATATGAGATATATATCATTTGTGATAAATAAACTATTTAATTCACTTCACAGTACGCTGTTGCCTTCACTTTGCTTTCACTGGCATTTCTCTCCGTGTAGCTCTGCAAATGCTCGCAGTTCAAACATGAAATGCCACAGGTCAAAGGCCAAAGCAACCGCATAAGAACCAACTTTTTTTTTATTTGTCGAATGTTTCGGACACATGTGTGCACTATCAAAATGGCGAGGAGTGGAAGGGGAAGGGAATCGGCAATTGAAGTATGGTAAACAAAAAGCTTAAATTATATTTGAAATGAAATAAAATGACAAAATGGCCGCAGAGCCACTTCCGCTTAATTGACTGGCAGTCCAACTAGAAGGAATACAGAGATACTTACGTAATGGCATATTGCCGCCGGAGGCAGTGCGTCGCCACAGGACATCCGGCAGAGGATCACCGCCGATGCGACATTGAAAGACCACCGAACTGCCAACGACAGCCGTCTGATTCTGCGGCCCACGAATGAGAAACGGACGCACTGCAAATGGACAGATTGAGCAAGGATTGAGTTGAGAACTGTTGCGAGATGTGACTGAGTGTGGGATTTTGGGGAGTGGCAACTTACCGTGCACTTTGAGAAAAGCGGTGGCCGATTCACGGGTGCCAACAACATTCTTGACCACACACTGGTAGCGTCCATCATCGGATTGACGGGCATCCTGGATGGCCAGATTGCCGCCATCGACAATGCGAATGCGCTTATTGCTGCCACTGCCACCACTCAGGTTCAGTGTCTGTCCGTTCTTGCGCCACGAGATTTGCGGCTCGGGTGAGCCGCGTGGTGCACCGCATTCCATCAGCGCCACCTCGCCCTGAGCCACTCGAGTGTTTTGCGGTTCCAGTCGAAATTCATCGCGCAAAACTAAAAATACAACGAGAGAGAGAGACAGATAGAGAGATATAGTGTGTGTTAGAGAGAGAGAGAGAGGGTTTCTTGGATAAAGCTTTGATTGATTCAATATTAATAACTGTCGTTGTAAGGACATGCTCAGGTGAGCGTCATTCAGTTAGTCAGTCAGACAACGAAAACAGCTGAAAAACATCCTGCAGCACTTGTATTATCCTTTTGCGCGGGCTGCCTGCCTGAGCCAAGTGCCTGCTGCTTGCTGCTTGTTGCCTGCTGCCAGCTCGTGGGGTACGCTCCATATTTAATGCGTCTGCCATTTGAAGTGACCTGCTCTGCCCTTTGCTCCCCCATTCTCCGCAGCCCCTGTCCTTAAGCGCCCTTGCAACCCACTCAATATGCCAATAAAACCTTGATAATGATGAGCTTGCTGTCCAGACTTTGAGCTTCAGCTGCTACTGCTGCAATATTAATAAGCTTTGGCATTTGCAATGCGTATTTCTCTTTGTACAAACAGGAATTGAAAAATTTACTATACTGACAAGTGCCCGACTTGTAGATACTCTGTATGTGTACTTTATGGATTATATGGATTATACTTTTCCATATTTGTCATATTATTTATTTAGTTAGATCCTCAAACATATTTCTATCTCATTAACCAATATTTCTTATATATTTTCTAGACTGATAAAATTGATTAAAGTACGATTATTCTACAATTTTGTAGATTCAAGATGTCATTCAACAAAGATGGTTAGTCGAATGAAAAGATTGTTGCTAGTATAGAGCAAGCATACCCATTGTATGCGCTTATACAGAGTATTGAAATGGAGAATACAAAATTTAAAACGTAAAATGTAAAATGCAAATTGCACTTCAATAAACGCATAATGCGCTTCACTGCACGCCAAAGGCAACAAAGCAGCTTCGAAACCGAGCTCCGAGTTCTGGACTTGGACTTGGGAGTTGAACAATCCGAAAATCCTCATTGTACAATGTTGTTAAAAAGATAAACAATTGTGAGCAGGTGAAGACTATCAAATGCCAAAGTTGATAACCCTTTAAATGTGGCCAAATTGCAAACCTTTGCCGACTGCGGCTCAACATTATTAATTAATCTGCTTGGGAACAGCCCCTGGCAACGTACAGCAGCCCCAAAAATACAACCCCCGATTCTAATAATCTGACCATGGCAGCATTTGCTATTGTGGATATCAATTACAAAACATTTTTGCGAAATGCTTTATTTTATTAATTAGAAAGAAATGCGAATGCATGACGTGCCTGTCAGCCAACAGGCAACAGCACGAACCGGAACAGGAACAGAAACCGACAACACAACAGAAACTGGACATGCAACTGGGGGCAGACGCATTTAATGGGGTTGGGCTACTTCCTGAAGTGCAAGCCACAAAAGTTCATTAGCTACAAAATGTGCAGCGTCAATCGATCAACGTCGTCAAATTGTTTTCTGTCAGTGTGTGTGGTTGAGCCTATCGTAAGTCTTAAATAAATTGGACTTTGGAGGAAGCACATATTAATTATAACTTAAAGACAAACTAACTCACGTATAATTGAGCTCAATATAGAATATAGAATTGTATAAATACAAATTAAATATTAACCCCTAACTCACATGGAATTTGGCTTAAGTTTGTACAGCATATAATTAAACATATACAAATTAGTTTTACTAATACTTTAAGGATCTTTCATCAATACTGTAGACGCTATAAACTAAAACAAACATTTTCTTTTTAATAGATTCATGATATTTGTACTCTTCAATGCTTCAGCACTGCTTTGCAGCCTATTAAATCATTTGTGTAATATAAAAACCTCTTCACAGAAAAATCGCAAGCCGAAACTCTTGTCGAACTCGGCTGAAACTTGGATGATATAAAGTTGGGTATATATATCCAAAATGTTCGACATAATATTGAAGTTTGGTAACTATGATTCTTGATTGTTTTATTATTGTACTTACATGCGACTTGCAATGTTGCATTTCTGGAACGTGCAACGCCGAACTCGTTCTTGGCCTGGCACCAATAAGTGCCCGCATCGCTCTCCCGTCGCGAGTGTATGACCTGAATGGGAGAGAGAGAAAGAGAAACGAGAGCAGAGATTACGGATTAGAGACATTATTAGAGATACAGATGTGTGTTGGCAATGTGGGGCATTAGGTACGAGAGTAGTTATATAAGGTTTAAGTTGGACACGTGTCACCGGCACCAAAGATCAAAATAAACGAAGCGAAATGCGCTCAACCAAAATCAGAATCAAATAAAACTGAAAGTGAAAACGTGCCACACGACCCTGACTTTTACAGCTATGTTTGTCTCTGGCTGAGCCTCGCTGTCCAGTCCGTCCACTCTGCGTATACGCAATTTAATTTAATTAAAAATAAAGAAGGAAAGAGAGAGGCAGAGTGATGGGGGAAGAAGTAGAACGCTGTTACAACCCCAGGTCCAGTTGAGGAGTCGGTGGGTCTGTGTTGTGCCTTAATCACTTGGCCACTTCAGTTTTAATTGGCAACAAACTGTAAGCATGCCGACAAGTCACTTAGGATTGGGGCATGACTCCAAAAATGCCTGAAATAGCCCTAACCCCAAGCCAAAATACCATTGAAAACAATAAAAATAAACGAGACGAGGTGGTGGAGCGGGGGGGCCTGGAGGGCTGGCAGAGTGGACGGGGCTTTGATGGGATCTGACAGGAACTCATCACAAATTGCCGGGTCTGTTTGGCTCGAGATATGCACAAGTAACTCTAAATATGCGATTGTATGATGTTGCAAAGTGATTTTTTAATGATATAAGCATCAAGCAAACCCCTCAAACCCCTCGCTAACCCCTTCCAGTTCCTCTAGTTCCCCTTTCGAGTGTTTCAAATGCGTCCGGCTTCAAAACTGGCATCGAAAATATAGCAACCCATTCGCGCATTATTTGAACAATTTAACAACATTTCAATTTAAGACTTGCTCATCTCGAAATAATTCGTTAAATTCTTCGAGCAAAGGAAAAACGTCGAAAAAAGAAGATAAACAAAAACATAAATAAAATAAATTTTGTTGCATTTAATGAAAAAATCAACGGCGCGGGGGGTTGCAAAAATGTAATATAAACAAGACAGCAGCAGCAGCCAAAAAAATAAAAGAAACAGAAACTGCAATCTAGGGGTTGAGTTGGAGGGTAGTGGGTGGCTGTTAACCCCACACACCCCATGAAGCGACCCCCGCAATGCGACTCGTTAGCTAAAATTGTGAAATGTGCACGCGCGAAGGTCAACCAGGGTTGGGGCAGCAATAGAGATGGCAACGGGACGATATATCGCAATAGGACCCAAGAGCGAAATATACTTGATCTGGAACTGCCTTCAAAATTGGATGACATTGAATCAATCCTTAACCCTTTAAACACCACTGTTATCTGTAAGCAGCTTTTTGCGATTTTTTTATTCGTTTTATTATTCATTTCAATGGTATTTTTGTAGCTATTTTGAGTGTAATATAAACTGAAATATTTTTTAAATTACACCATTTTTTAATTATATGAGAAATTGAATTTATTTAAAAAATGTGTCTTTTTATATGGTTTGAGTTCCACATCAAAACTGCATTTACAATTGAAAACATGATTATTTCGGATTACATTATGATTATTTTTGAATAGATTGTGTTTCCAGAAGAAATGCCATTTTGATCATCTCAGTTGAACTATCGTTATTTCCACTGCTTAATTTTTTATTTGTCTTTTCTCAAACATCGCCCATCTCTAGAGCCACAAGAGTTGGGCTAGACAATTGGCAAGTGTTTCAGGCCTAGACAGAGAAAGGGGGAAGGTTTCCCCCTCAGCACATCCAACTGACAAGTGATGTTGTTATTGTCTGGCCTTTGTTTTGCTTGCCGATCAAAATGCAACCAGTTGGAAGCACATAAAATAATATGAATCAAATTTATGCACAAATGTTGCGTTTCTCAGGCATGCCAGCTGAAATCGAAAGATGCCCCCTTACCAAATGACACACATATCGTATCGTATCGTATCATATCATATCGTATCGTATCGTATCGTACAGATAATGATAGAGTATTGTTGGGTATCTGTCTCGCTTAAGCACTTACCTTGAGAAAGAATAAACCACCCGCGGGCAACATTATGCGATGCGAGCCAACATCCGCTTTCAGTTCGCGTCCATCCTTGAACCACTGGATGGTTGGCGTTGGACTGCCTTCGGCTTTGCAATTGAATGTGAATGGATCATTTTTGGGCACAGTCGTATCCATGGGATGCTCAATGATGTGTGGATTTTCACCTGTCATAAAAGGAAAGAAAGGAAGGAGAAGTTAAAACAGAGTTGCCAAATTAAACACGATAAATATTAAGTGCCCTAAATTGCAGTCGTCTTGTCTCAGCAACCACCAAGAGCGTATTCTAATGTATGAGGACTTAAGATCAAAAATGTGCAGGTCTGTCAACTGTTCAAGTGCCCCTCTAGGGAACCGACCTTAAACAAGTTTTGTCACTTAACGTTCAGCAATTAATGCGCCATTAGAGTGTTGTGGAGAAGGAGCACAAAAAAAATATATATTTATATATATAATGTTCTGTAAAGCCCCCCTAGGAGCAAAATCTTGGTTCATATTATGTTAAGCAGCAATGGAATTCACTTGAATTTCGTCCTCGCCTCAAATTCAATTAACTTCAAGAAAATATTTGCTCGCCCACGGTGCAGGACCGAAAAAAGAGGAGGACTAAACATAAATTTACAGCATGTCGATAAGGATGAAACAAAGGACAACGCTAGATAAACTTTATTAAAAGCAGCACAAAACAACAACAACAAGAACGAGAACGAGAACAGTAAATGACCAGCGAAATGGAGAACAGTTGAAATGTAATTACAAAAAGCGCTTAAAGGTGAAAAATATGTGTGTTGTGTGTGTGTGGGCGAATGAAAATGGAAAATGGAAGATGCAAGATGAAATTTTTCGGTAGAGACAGAGAGCAAGACAGAGACAGAGACAGAGAGCAGCAGCAGCAGCACTGGCAGCACTGAGTGATAGTAACATCATTCAGCCGGAAATTAAATTCTGCAGATTTATTGAAAGCGGATAGTAATGAGAGCTGGAGAAGTGATTGAGCAGCTATCATAGTTAGAGAGAGAGGGCAAAAAGCCTTAAAGCGAGAAAAGCATTCTTCAAATGAGTCAAATGGAAATTGGAGAGAATGCCAGATTGACTTATTGACGGTGCACATTAATTAAGTGCAACACAGTGGCAAGAGACAAGAGAACCGATCAAATTTAAGAGCCAACATCAAGTTTATATAGTTTTCATATTAAAGCTGTTAAGCTGACAAGAGGAGCGCTAAATTCTATTATCATTTAAAACAGTTTATTCACTAAAACGGTGATTTACCAAAAGGATTGGCGCATGCAAATCAAATCACAAGCCAGCATTGTTATCACGATGAAAAATCATTATTCAGTGATTTTGGCTTTGAGCTGCACGACGTCATTTGTCCAACAATGCGTACGACAGTGAGATGGAGAGAGAGAGAGAGAGGGAGAGAGAGAGAGAGAGAAAGAGAGAGAGAGCTTGTGAGCGCACCTTGAACATTTGTCAATTGCTTTTGTGTATTGCCAGCAGCAGCAGCATCCTTTTATGCTCTATGCTTTGTTTGATGCTGAGCTTTGGCCATTGTCTGATTTTGCACTCTCCTCTCATTCCACTCACTTTCTTGCTCTCACTCACTCACTGTCTCTCTCTCTCTTTCGCTCTCTTTGTGCATTGCGTGTGGCTCTTTGTTGTGCTGCTGCTGTTGTCAAGGCGACAGTGTACTAATTTATATATAATACTTGTAGACATGTCAGCCATATTGAGTAAATGCCAGTTGTATAGTTCTCTTAAGCTAATAAAGCTCAGCTGATTACACAAATTGCACCAAACCAAACCAAATCTCAGCTGTAAATGAAAAGGTCTTTTTTACGATTCCTTCCTTTTTTTGTCATTTAGAAAAATTTTTAAATAAGCAAGAGAAAACCGCAAAGAATTCCTTGGGCTTAACAAGATATTTAATTAAGAAAAAATATGCTGCAGCAAAATAAACACAAACATATGCAGCAAAAAGTGCAAAAAAAAAGAGAGAGAAAATTGAAGTAAACAAAACCACACAGAACACACATGCACACGACGCACACACACAAGCAAACACATACATATGCAAACTTTTGCAGCAAAAACTTCGATAAGTTTTTTCTAAAAGCAGAATTAATTAAGTAAAAATGTGTTAGAATTATTTTTTTTCCATATTAGCGTGTAAAAAGTGAGAAGCAATAAGAAAAACTGAACCCTCATTTAAAAATAGATATCGCCTGGCAGCTCTATCTATCTCTCTCTCTCTCTCTCTCTCTCTCTATTTTGAAATTTTGATATAGTCGATTTTATTATTTGGCTTGCTTTTAAATCCTTTTACAAACATATTTTTGGCCAACTTCAAAGCAAGAGAAATTCCCGCTCAGCGAAGCCACAAAAATTTGCTTGGTTATTAAAATACACAAATACACACAGAGTGAGTGGGTGGCTATGAGTGAGAGAGGTAGAGAGAGAAAGTCTTTGCACTTAATTACGCTCATTTGGCGCACGCACTTAATTTGTACAAGTTCAGTAGAAGTGCATGCATGCATGTGAGTGTGTGTGTGTGTGTAAGTGTGGGTTTGCTCCGTGCGTTGGCAATTTATGCATATGAAATAATGTGAAAGAAGTCTGTGTAAATAAACAGCAAAGTGCTGCCGGCGTGCAATGCATACTACACCTAAGCAAACAACAACACAAGTAAGCTGTGAAGAGAGAGAGAGAGGGAGAAAGGGAGAGACCGAGAGTGCCTCAGCCCATAATGCAAGAGATGAAGAAGAAGCAGCAACAGCAACAACAGCAATAATAACAGGAAGTGCATTTGTTGTTGCCGCTGTTAAGAAATCTACTACGCCTGCTGATGCTGCTGCTGTTGTTGCTGTGCGTAGTATGTTATCTTAGTTTATGTGCTTTTGCGCGTCTTCTTCTTGTTGCTGTTGTTGTTTGCTGTTTGCTGTTGCCGCAGTTGTTGTTATTATTTGTCTGGCATAAGCATAAAAATGTCTGCCTTTTTGATGCGTATTCCAGCAGCAGCAAAAGCAGCTGTTATTTGTATACGCTCCGTTCTCTCATACTCCTCATCATTCTGCTAATTTGTCGCTCTCTTATTTGAGTTTGAACCCACACAGCTAAAAGATGCTAAAAGTGCCAATATGATCGTTATTAGCATGTCAACAACAACAACAGCAGCAACGGCAGCAATAACAGCAACATTAACAGCAACACTAACAAAATCACAACTTTCACAACAAACACAAAACACAGACGAAGACGGCAACATGAATCGATGCAGTGACAAAACACCAGCTGAAGACAGGGAATAAGCAGGAATTGTGCACAGCAGGTGTACAAATGCATATATGCAAATATGTAAGCAACTATCGCCATCTCTCTCTCTCTCTCTCTCTCTCTCTCTCTCTCTCTCTCTCTCTCTCTCTCTGCTTGTAATCAAACAAACACCAAATGGGATGCTACTTGCTGCAGCCACCCCAGGTGGAAAATGTCCACATAATGTTTGACTGTTTTACTTGCTGTGCAAATGTTGTAAATGCAGCATCCCGGAAAACCACTGATTATGATCCGTCTGTCTATAAACTAGAATTGAGAGTGTGTTGTTTTCTTGAAAACAATTATTTGTTATGTGAACTTAAGGAATAGGCTTCAAAATGAATGAGAATTTATGGAATAAAAGAGATAAATTAACATTTGACGAATGCAGTAGATCAAATTTAAAATGTAACATTTAATATTAAAAACTAATCTGCAATCGAGCTGATTTTTAAATAGCGTTCACTAATTTGAATTTCGTGAATTTATCGTAAGTAATTTCGGCATGCAATATTCTCCTTCGTTGTACAAGCAGACATAAGACTCTCTCTCCCTCTCCTTCTCTCTTCATTTGTCAATAGCATATTATTGCTGTAAATTTATCATAATTTCAAGGAACTTTCACAGTACAAGCAAAAGTCAAAAGGCATCATCAAATCGATTGCTTGAAAAGCTCTTTCGCATAAAGTAACTGTATCGTTGACATTGTGTCGCTGTTAGAAAATTAACAAAGCTTGGCAACGGCGGGTGCTTCAGTGAGAGAATTGAGTAAGTGTTGTATTTCAATTCTCAACTCAACAATAATTTATAAGCTTTTAGTGCAATGGCAAAGTGACTACAATAAAAAAAAAATACGAAGAACAACAACAACAACAGCAATAAGAGAGAATAAGTTTTTGATTTGCCGCCAGCATGCTGAAAGATGAATGTTGTAGTTGTTTCTATTCTTACATTTGCGACCATTTACTTATTTATGTTGAATGTTTATTTTTTAATGTGCATGCAACTTTCGCGAATGTGATGAGCTTGAGGACGGCAGAGCACAAAGAGATAGAGAGTGCCAGAGTTGTGGAAAGGGTTGCCTTATAAGGTAGTCGAATGGAGGGGGAAGGTGTGGGAATTGGGCACTGTGTAAGCTTCAAGAGTTTTGCACAACTTTTGCCACTTAGGAGAGTGTGCGTGAGAGAGAGAAAGAGAGAGAAAAAAAGAGAGATAGAGAGAGAGAGCAAGTCTTAATACCCATTACCTGCAGACGTTATTAATTTGTGGAAAATCACTTTTCACTTACTGACTTAAGTCGAATAAAAGCTCTTCAAAATTGAGCAGATGCAATTTGTAAGGCATTCTGCAACACTTTTAAATGTGATTTTTGGGGCTATGCTAATAATTTTCAGCCTCAGTTCAATATTATGCTTGCAACTTTTTGAGTCAGCTTGAAAAGCTTTTAACTTGAAATAGCAATGCAGATTAGGTAAACTCTTCTTTGCATATGTGCATAATCCACATACCAAATGTATACACAAAAGTTGCATTACTTTTTGAGGCACATTTAATATCTATATCTATTGGCTGTTAATGGAAATTCTGTTTTAATGCAACTTTTTTAGCTGCTGCATTTAACTGCCTTTATTTACTGCAAGTGATTTCACTCTTTCAGTGAAACACACATCAAGTCTTAACCCATAAAACTCAAAGACTGCGCTTTGTAGTCACCTGTATTATTTGGTGTAAATAAGGTAGTTCGTATAATAAATATGTGCTGCAAGATTCACAGCAGCGCAACAAAGTGCGAGGCAATTCAAAACTTTGCCCCAACAAATCTGAGTATGCAATAAAAGTTTGTCGAGTGTGT